TCGCCGTGCATTCGGCCGCCTTCCTCTCGGGCAAAGCCACCTCTTCTTCTTCTTCTTCCTCCTCCTCTTCCTCCTCTTCCTCCTCCTCGAGCCTCGGCAGCCCGCCCTCGCTCCTCTCCAGACCCATCCCCTTCACCTCGGTGCCCTCCACGGCTCTCCTGTCCTCGCCTCCGTCCTTTGCGGCCGCCATCCCGTCCCCGCAGGCTGCCCTGGCCGTGCTGCAAACGCAGCCCCTTTCCCTGGTCACCAAACCTGCTGACTAAGGGAAAAACTTGTCCCCCCTCGCCCCGTCCCGTCCGTCCCCTCCCTGCTGTACATTGCAGAAGCACCAATCAAGATTCAAATGCAGCCAAAACCATTATTGGTCAATATTTGACCCTTTCTGAACTCTTTTGTAAGCAGACTCTGGAGGAAGGGGCTTTCTGCTCAGAGCTGCTGCCAGCAGTCGACCTAAAGACCGTTTTTATTAAAAAAAAGGAAAAAAAAAAAAAAAAAAAAGAAAATAAACCCTCCACAAGCTGCCGACGATGGAAATCTCCCGCGAGCTGACTGTGGGCGCGAGCCGAGTGCCTGTCGCTGCCGCCGGGCACGGCCGACGGCCCGGCGCTCCCATGCACAGGCATGCCGGCACCGAACGTGGTGGGGGTTGAGCTGGGGCCGGCGCTCTGTCCCGGAGGCAAGAGCAGAAACGCCAGCTACCGACCCGGTGCCTCCAGATGCTCCCAAGTCCTCCCGTCCTGCGGCTCTGCTCCCAGCCACGGTGATTGCCTTCGCTCCGTCCCGGCGAGGAGCCGGATCCTGCCCTCAGGATGCTGCACCGTTGGCCCTGCTCCTTCCCGCGGTCATGCTGGGGTGGGCAGGATCCGGGGCTGAGCCCTGGGTGGGGGGTTTTCCCCTTGAAACCCTGTTATTTTTCACAAAAGGAAATAAAACTACAGCTGCAACTTGCTGCGTGAGCGTGGTCAGTGGGGGAAGCCGCTCGCTCCTTGCCCATCGCCACCATCTCCCCGCCAGCGCTCGAGCGTCACCGTGCCCCTGGAAGCACCTCGGGACGGGGCTCCGGTCCAGCCCCAGAGTGGGGCACGGGGCCAGGCATGGCCCCAGCCCGAAAGCATCACCCAGACGCCTCCATCGATGGGCACCGGGCGATTTTGGGGTGTCCATCACAAACCTGTGATGGAGCGAGCAGGCAGCGTATGGTTTGCTGGAGAGATACGGGCAGCAGGATGCGGGGGATTAGGTAAACCAGCTCAGGGGGTGCCTGAGAGGCCGAGGAGTGCGAGTTACTGGTGTGTATCTCACAGCCAGGAACTGCAGGACGCCCTGTGCCTGCTTCTTCCAAACCAGGAATGAAAAGACAGATTAGGATGAAAAAGGACCTGCACAAAATCAACCCAGGGGCACCCGGTGGATTTTCAACCAATCTTAAGTTCTCGGTCAGTTCAACACTTGAGCTAATCAAGACTCTTCCATCTCACCATATTTTTAACAGAAAAAAACCCCCAACCCTATCTCAAAGTTTTCCCGTTGAAAGTCGCAATTTTGTTTTCTGTTGCAGATTTAATTCCGAGCTGCGCCCACCCAAAGGTGATTCGTGGTGTTTACAGTCACGTTTCATTCCCCTTCCTGAATTTCTTGGCCAATTTCCATTTCCCAGGACCCAGCCTGGCTCCTCCCTGCCTGCACCAGTGCTGCGTTGTGGGGACCACAGTGTCCTCGGGCTCCCAGCCCGTGGCGGTGGGCAACGTCCCAATCATCACTATCAGTGATGGGCTGAGCCCTTCCTGCGGCTGCTGGCCCTCCGGCTCTCAGCTTGGTGGGTGTTTTTGCTCATTGGGTGGGATAAATGACGCCTTCGCCTCCTGTCGTGACGTTTCTCTTTTCCTTTCCAGTGCCGAGCTGGTGTGAGAAGCCACTGAGGATGTGTTTTTATCAAGCTGGAGCAGCAGCAGATGTCCATCTGCAGATAGAGGGGAAAAGGGACCATCTTGGCGTCTTGTCCTTAAGGAAGACGGCGTCCACATTTACCAGATGTTGCGTGAGACGCGCGCGTGTCACGGGATGACGCTGGCATCTGTAACCCCAGCGGATGACACCTGGATTCGAGGATTCCTGTTTTCATATCGGAACTGGGCAGAACTACCAAAAAAGTACAGCTGAGCGATGCCCCCAGCTATGGGTGCAGACAAGAGCGCAGCCTCGAGCCCTTGCGTGAGCACCAGGGACACATTCGGGGCAAACACTGGCTCCTGTGACCTTCTGAAAGCTCCAGATGCAAACCTTCTGCAAACAGTGACGGTGCCTCCAGCAGGAGCACAGCGTCTCCCATCCAGCTGAGGATCATCTTCTGGACTGGAAGCGACAGCTTAAATCCAGAGCTCAGAGCATCCCAGCCGGGCGGTAGCTCCCGAAATCATTGCTCTAAGGGGTCCCGGCTAGTTGAGAGCCTCAAGCAGCGAGAGGAGCCTGCAGCAGACCCAGCTCCTGCATACCAGCTTCTTGGTGGCCACCACCAAAGCCTCCGAGCATGAGAAAGTGCCCGGAGCATCTTTATTCACTGTCGCACCCAAGACAGCCCTGAACTCGGCAGGCGTTTCCGTTCCACACACAAAATTGTTTAAAGTTCTTGCTTTCAAAGAACAAATTTGTAAATGCTGGGATAGGGTATAATTCCTCCGCAACAGCACCCAAGAGGACCAGCCACGATGCTTTAATTAATGGCATCCTGATAGCGTGTCGTGCGGTTGTGTGAGATCCAGGACTGAGAGGATTAGAGTGTCGCCGAAAACGTGCGTGGCCGTCATCTGAAAAGAGGCAAAACGTAGCTTTGTTTAGAAAGGCTGTTCCAAGGAACTGGTTTTCTGCGAGGAACGTCTGGATCGCATGCAGCCGCGCTCTCCCCAACACCGGGAGCAGGCTGCAGACAAACAACTTCTTGAATTAGATTTCATGGGAAATTAAAGGCATGAAGAGACCTGTCACAAGAATTAAAGTCTGAACCGGAGCCAGACAGCTTCAAACAGATGTTGGACTCCAGCAGGAGAATATTTCTTTGTTTTACTCGGCATTTTCCCATACAGAAAAGGAACATCTGTTCCGATGCTTTCGCAGTGCTCCTAAACTGAGATAGGCTTGGATTATCCCCTGCTAGAAGAGAAGCAACTGGCCACCAAAGCCCTCTTGGCTTCGCTCCTCCTGGAGAAGAGGGCAAGACCAGTTACGTGTTGCTCCGGTCTCAGATGAACACGCTGAAGCTCTCTTAGTTGAACCGTGGTATCTATATATCCTTCATGCTTGCAGCGATATGGCTAGATGAAAATGTTGCATTCAGACTGGTTATCAATAGAAAACTGATCCCTTAACAGGGTTTTCTTTGTCCTCCGGGACGTGCTTCAATAAGAGGAAAATTCTGGGGTTTGTCTTTGTTGCAGAAAAACCTGAACATCCAGTCTGTTTCAGTTTGGGCTGTTGTGGCAAGGAGGTCTGGTAGCCCCTCTCCTCTTTTTTGGACAAGTTTTTGACTACATTTCGCACGATGATTAACTTATCCTCAGACCTGGGAGCTGAAAATCGAGCCAGGCGGCCCGAGGTGCAGAGGAGAGCCATGCGTGGAGGTCCTGGGGAGCTCTCTGGCAGTATTTCCCAGTTACAAGAATTCGCTTTTCAAACTTGCAACAAAAAAACCAATTTTGCCGCTTAAGATTCTTGATTTTTCCTTTGGTCCCCTGAGAAAATGAGGCATCTGCCACTGCACACTCCCTGGTCCTGCTTTGTAGATTACTTTTTTCTTGGGATCCCAACGACATCCAACAAAGGGGAAAAGGTTGGGGAGGGAACGAAATGGTGTCCCACGGAGAGTCGGCAGCAGAAGGAAGGGATGGCATGCTGTAAAAAGCAGGGAGAGGTGGGACAGCCGGATCCTGCCTTAGCCGAGAGGCGCGAAACAGCTGGGACGGGGGACGTCGTGCCAATGACGGGGTCCCCGTTGCTCTCCCAGCTGCGGCAGATGTTGCCGTTTGCATGCGTAGGTCAAGACGGTATGAACACTGCGTGGGGCTAAGCCACGGCTGAGCGGAGGTGGGGTGAGGTGGACCTGCTTGTTTGGGGTTCGCCGTCATCTCCAACAGCGGAGGTCCACGTAGAAAGTGCCGAGAAGCAGCAGGAGGTACGGCCGGGCGGGAGAGCTGCAAACAGCCGTGTGAATGATGAAGCTGGAATTGGGAACGGGTGGCCGCGTCCTTGGGAAATACACGTTCACCATCATTGCCACCCATTCCCAGAGTGAAACGAAGTTCAAGAAGTGCCTGATGTCTCCTGGCTGGGAATACTCCCGGTGAGGAACCACTGCAGAGCTGTGCTTGGGGTGGCCGGGGAGCTGGGCTGCGTCGCGGCAGACAGGCAGCACCAGGAACGGCACAGGGAGAGGGGAGGATGTGAGTACGACCCTGTCCAGAAACGTGATGTACAGCAAGAAAAGGTTTAAAACCTCGATTAAAGGGTGCCATTTTTGTGACGAGCCCAGCCCTAAACTCACTGCAGTTATCGTGGGGTTTTTATTGCCAGGAGCTGGCAAACGTCTCATTAAGAGCTTGTCAAGAGCAAACTTCTGGGAGAGCTTGCTCTGGTGCGCGGGTAGCATCTGGGAGCCAGCTTGGTGCTTTCCCCACTTTTTTTTGGGAGCAGGGCTACTTCTGTCACCTCCGTCCGCTTGCTTAATTGCAGCCATCTTGATCAAATGGCCCCCAGCCCCCTCTCCCTCCACAGCTCTGGCTATTCACTAATTGAAATGCCTAATGAGGTCCCAGGGGTCTCCTGCAGAGATGGAGCTAATTAGGGGCTCCGCCACGAACCCGGCGAGCAGCAGCAAATGAAACGAAGGTTTCCTCGAACCTGCTTTTTTGCGAGGGGCCGGGGGGAGGGCACACCAGATGTCCTGTTTCCCCGTTCCACACCGGGGTAAGGCTGGCGCTCTGCAGACTCCAGGCTCCTGCCAAAGCAGCTGGTGCAGAGGCAGTGGCTACACTTAATACATTTTAATTAGCATCATTAAATTCTTCCATTTGCTAATTGTTTCTCCTTTTGATCCTTTATCCTGACCAGATTAGTCCTCAGGGGGAAAGGGACGGGATGGGGGATGCAGGCACTTCTGACAAGGTGAGGACTTTATTATCTCCGAGCGCGGGGTTATCACCAGACCCTGGGAGACCACGCTAAAATGCCCCAGTTGGTGCTAAATTAAAGGCCAGATTTGTGTGTCCAGCCTGTCCTTGGCCGTCGTGGCTGTTCTCAGAAAGAGTCATCCCCAAAAAGTGACATCCCGCAAGGGTTTATGAGAAGAGACAGTACCAGTCTAGGAAGCCAGCCAAAACCTCGCTTAAGTTTGAATGTAAAGGAGTTGTTTTTCAGGCGATAAAGGACCAGCCGCTGCCATCATGTTGGGAAGCAGCTGGGTGTGACCAAAAGAGAATTTCCTCCTTCTGCTTTCCAGCGGACAGAGATAATAATCCTCAATCCTCCCTCTTTTCCTCCTACCAGTCTACATCCGCGTAATCGCGCTGAAGCCAGAAGCAACTTCCTTGTTGTCCACGTTGATGGCAGCTTCCCGTTCCTCGGGCGGCGCGGAGAGGGTGCAGCCGCACAGAGGTTAGGTAAGGTCGCTGGTCCTGTTTATCACGTTTTAGCCAAGAAAACTGTTGAAGGAAAATGAGCCTGGTGTGAGCCACCAGGCGCTGAGCTGATGTCAGCCTCGTACTCGGTATTTTGGGCAGAATTCTGTTCCTAGACGCATTGTTGTAAATCCAGAGGAACTTGGCCTCCGTTCAGTTACTCTTGACTTCCAGGGGTGTGAGTGAAAGCCGAACTGGCTGGGCATGAGAAAGAGCCTCGCTTGTCTGTTTTAAATCTCAACAAAAGCATTGGGCCAACTGTTCTTCTGTCTCCTTAGAAAGGCAGGCATGGGCAGAACCGAGCTGCTAGCATTATTGGAATGTATTGAATTGAATAGAGGATTGGAAAAAAAAAAGAAAAATCAACCACATAATCCATCGTGCTCTGAGGCCAAGTCAAGATTATTCCCCAAAGTATTATCACTGTGCGGGACTCATATGGTTTGCAGGTTGAATGATGTTGTGATATTTTTCTGTGTTTTAGCGTTAAACGGACTGACTGGAGCAGCTAACGAATGTGTGATGTTATTGCGATTTCTTCTGGAGACACGCGAGGCTTCGCTGCTTGTCTTTCAGCGCTCAGCCCTGCAGGATGCCGCGTTACGGAGGGGCAGCTCTGGTGACACTAAGCAACAGTGGGAAGCGTGCGTGGTCTGGAGCGGGTGAGCACCAAGGAAGTTCATCCCGGGTGGAGATGAAGGCAAATCCGTTGATCTAAAAGGAAAGAAGCCAGACGATGGGGAGGACAGATTGGGATTGTTACTAATAAGCCAAATTACAGAGACTTGATGGCGTAATTCATGCATCTGGAAAACTGATATCAAAGGTCTAGCTGGTTTGGGAAGGACAGGCAGGGAAAAAGCTGGAGATAAAACTCTCTGAAGAATGATGTACCCCCATGCCGACATCCCGAAACAGAGGGAGACAGGCCTGTGCAGGGTCTCTGGGTAGCAGTAATGAACGCAAGGCAGACCCAGGAAGAACGTCCGGAGCTCTTTGTTTGCCGGGATCCCCAAAAAGCCACAGCTCAGCAGACATCTGCTGGAAAAGGAATACAGCAGGAGGCAAACCCTCTGAGAAAGTCTTGGACAGCGGGTAGGGGCAAATTTTGGACACAGCGGGTGACGTACGGCTGGAAGACAACCACAGATGACATCAATCACAGCCCAAGGACACCCAGTGCCACAGCCACCTTGACTCGCTGCGGTTGGGTCGCAGTTCATGGACCTGAGGACATCAAATCCACCCGAGGAGCTCAGCCACGGGCTCCAGACCCCCATAGCTCCCCAGACTGTGGTAGAAGGATGACAGGCGGATTTGGGGATCTTTCTACATTTTGATTTTATCTGCATCAAGTACAGGTTGGTTTATATTCCAGGCAGCAGAGCAGGAGGTTGGAGATGGGTGGGTAGGATTATCAGTAAGACACGATGAAATCCTTATGTTTGTTCTGCTGAGCAAGCTGGAAGATCGTCCCCAGTTTTGGGCAGTATCCTTCAAGGTGTGGAGTGCCCGGAGAAAGCCCGGAAGAGAGCAAGAATGCGGCCTACAGGAAAAGATGGACATTCAATCCGGAGAAGGGAGACGTAACAGTCTTCAGTAGGTAAATTATCTACAGAGGAAAGGGATACACATTCCTCGGTGCCCACGGAGAGCCAAAAGCTGATTTTCTGCTGCCGGTGGGAAGAGCTGTAGTTGTACAGGACGTGTCTCGCCTGCCCAAAAACAAAAAGAAAAGCTGATCAGAGCTGTTGGACCGGCCGTGCTCCCCCGGCGTGGCCGCTGTCCTCAGGGGCGCTTTCGGAAAGCAGTCCTGAACCAAAGGAAGGGAAATGAGCCCCGATGCCTTGCCACTCCCCCCCCCACCCCACCCCCGCCACGGCCTGTTTCCTCCCCCACGAAACGGGGGCAGCCAGCGGGTCAGGACACCGTCCAAGCACGG